TATATCTCAAGCTTAAAAGACTTTCTCATAGGTTGCCAAAAACTTGGTCTCAAAAGGTGTAGCTTTCTCACGAGCAATCCTCAAACTCTAACTTGCTCTCACACAAATAGTCTGTCTCTTTCTTCAGGTAATCATGTTAAATATTTTAATGTTTTGAATAACATTATTTTTGTCATCATAAGCAGGTTCACCCATCTCAGCTCGGCGACATAGAACCGTTGGGGGATGTGATAAGTAGAAACAATCCTCAGAATATCATGGAAGAATTTAATTTTGAGAAGGTGCACTGAGAGGAGCTGGACCATCACCGCTAAAAGTGTTTGGCGTACTCTACCCCCGGGCTTCAGAACTAGCTCGCCAAGAAATTCCTGGGCAACCCCGCCTGCATAGGCGAGAACTGAACTCCCTACAGGGACATCCAAAACTCCTTGGCTACCTGAACTCCTTGAATCATCACCAAAAGTGGCACCCAAAATTTTTATGTAGCTTGCACTACTCAACCCAGTGCCTGACCCCCTCTGCTCGCTCAAATGGGTAGCCCAGTGCCTAGAGAGGTGTCTGGCCCCCTCTGCTCGTACAAGCGAAGTAGTCCTGCAGGCGCCTAACCATTTGTGCTCGCCCAAAATGGTGCCTCTTGGTGCCTTTACGCTAAGACTAGCCTTCTTTCCACCTCCCTGCTCACCAGGATCAGCGCCCCTAGGCGCCTGATGGACCAGATCAGCATGCTGCCTGAAGACTTGAGCAGCCCCCTCATCTACTACGCGAACTGTAGCAACGCACAGCGATGCCGCCTTCTAGCCCAGGCCCTTCTCGGCCCCTGCCTTCCCATCTCCACGGCATACCACACCTCCTATGAGAGCAAGCCGCTCTTTAAGACGACCTGGAGTGGCACTTAGGCAATTTTCCAGCTCACCCAAGGCCTCTTGCTAGCCCAAGTTCCTCAAGTCAGTACCTTAAAAGGCGCCCAAGGCTTTTTGCTCGCCCAAAACAGCTTGCCTAGCTGCATGGTCGCCCAGAGCAGTGCCTGCTCGCCCAAAACTACGTGCTAGCACGTCTGCTCGCTATTTGGACTGTAAATTTAGCTACGTAAGTCAAAATAGGACATATTATATATCAAATCGAAGCTCTCGACGAGCTGAGAAAAACTCATTACTTTAAGTAATGCAATTTCCAAAAAAAGTCCAAAAAACTTCCAGAAAGAGGTGTTTTGGCCTCCCAAAGTTTTAAAAAAAAAATCTTACTACTTGTCTAGGACGCAACCAGCACGGCCAGGATGCTGCTTACTCGCCTAAAAATGCACGCACAACTCTTTACTCGATATTTTGACCATAAATTTTGCTTTGTAACTCAAAATAGAACATATTATATACTAAATCGAAGCTCTCGACGAGTTGAGCAAAACTCATTACTATTAATAATGAGTTTTTCAAAAAAAGTCCAAAAAATGTCCAAAAAGAGGTGTTTTGGCCTCTCAAATTTTATTTTTTTTAAAAAAATAAATAAATAATTCAACTTGTCCGGGAGGGTTTCTGCTCACCCAACATAGTATGTGCCTACCCAGAAGTGGTCTGCTCGCTTAAAACATGCACCTAGCTCCGGCTCGAAGTTTTGACCGTAACTTTTGCTCCGTTGTTTGAAATGAGACTTATAATATATCAAATCGAAATTCTCGACGAGCCCTACAAGATAATCATAGCCAATGGCCTATAAACGGATATTTTGGCCTCCTGAAGTTTTTCTAGTTATGCCGATCAGCCAAAAATTCAAATTCAACTTAAATGCCCTCTTTTCCAAGTTCTGTTAGACGCAGGATATTGAGGGGGCAAATGATGGGTCAGGCCCAATGTCAAGAGATCCAACTAGTCAAGCCCAAAGAAGTCTACACCTGAATAACCTTATCAAGATCAAGGAGCTGCAGGGGAGCATACATGGTCATCCAAGAGTCTCCTCTACCACCTTAGAGTAAGGGTCATCCAAGAGGGTCATCCAAGAGCATCCTCTACCACCTTGGAGTAAGGGTCATCCAAGGGTCTCCTCTACCACCTTAGAGTAAGGGTCATCCAAGAGCCTCTTCTACGCCACCAAGGAAGCATCCAGGAGCCTCATCCTCACAGCCTGGAGAGAGTCAACCTCCCTCATCCTTGAACAAGTTATTTGGAGAGCACACCAACCGTCACACCTCGCCCATTGAGAAGATGATAGGTTGCCTCCGCCAAATCAGCTATCTAATTACTATTAAACGATCTTAAGCCATTTATGACCATCAGACTAGTCATACAATTACTATACCAAGCCACTATAAATTGTAAATTCCTCCAACATTTGGGGGGCATTAGACTCATTTGAAAATAATTCTCTCATTTCTTCTCAAAGCTTGTAATCATGTGCTCTCCGTTCACACCGGAGATAATAAAATTTTGACGAACCTAGCCATTCAAAGTGGACGTAGGTCGTATTGACCGAACCACTATAAATCTTGTCTTCTCTCTTCTTCTACTTACTGTATTTTATACTACAACTTGACTAGTGGTGTGCAAACTAATTTGTGCATCATCATAAGGAAATCCCTTGACTTCACTTATACTCTTATCTTATGCACCAAAGAAAGCAAGTAAGGTTGGCTAAGATCCCATTCCAAGTAATGTAACATTATTTGATCTTGCACCATCTTCAACTCTTCTCAGTATTCGAAGATTTTCGAGAAAAGGTCTCATCCTTCAATATCATGATTAGGTCGACCAGGTTAGATCATAAGTGAAATATAATGATTGAGTCAACAAGGCCAAATCAAAAATATATATAACTATTCCAACTAAAATACTTGGAATAATTCTACCACTTCTACTAGGAGTAACCTTTTTAGTGCTAGCTGAATGTAAAGTAATGACTTTGTGCAACATCAAAAGGGTCCTGATGTAGTGGGATCGTTTGGATTGTTACAATCTCTAGTAGATGGTTTGAAATTGATTCTAAAAAAGCCTATTTCACGAAGTAGTGCTAATTTCTCCCTTTTTAAAATGACTCCAGTGGCAAAATTTATGTGAAGTCTGTTTGCTCGAGTCGTTATACCTTTTGATTATGGTATATTATTGTCAGATTCGAACATAGGGTTACTTTATTTGTTTGTCATATCTTCGCTACGTGTTTATGAAATTATTATAGCAGGTCGCTCTAGTAATTTAGGGGATTGCCGTTCGATCGCCTATGATACTGGGACTAATAAATTAAAAATGGATTTGTGCAACATGTGTTAAATGATCTACTCTACACAGGTGTGGGCTTATAAGGCTAGGGCTCAGAAACCCTCTCTTTCATGCATCAATAGGACCTTGGTTGATCACTTTTCTGGGCTAGGATCTATAAATGGAAGTCATAAAAAAAAGATTTTTCTCTTTGCACATCAGATCAAGAAGAAGGGTAGCTTGTCAAGTTGGCCTAGAATATTTATATATTTCTATGATTATTATATGTAATAATAAGAATAGAAAGATATAAATAAAAAAGATTCACTGTCTTTTCACAACCTGTTCTTCTTTGTCAACGTTACTAAGGATTTATAGGTTCGCCAACTTCACTTATGAAAGATAATGAGAATGAGTTATTCAAAAAAGAAAAAGCATTACTTAGCCCTTCATTAGTAGAGATAAGTGGTTGAGTTAGCCTACTATACCCCACTAATGTATTGTACAGCAAGGTATAATAGACGAGCGAGTTAGCGAAGAGCCTTAAGCTAATAGAAAATATAGCATTGATGCGTAGTCTTCATTCTATTACGAAAAGGGGCAATAGTGTAACTTTATAAGTTATAGGTAGTTTTTCAAAGTATTAGAGCAACTCCAATGGAGAGTTCTATCTGGGGTGACAAATCATTAACTGCTAAAATGCCACCCAAAAATCAAAAAAATTCACTCCAAAGGGAGTGGCATCTGGGGTGGCAAAGTGACAACTATAGACTTGGGGTGGCAAATTTGTAAACTTTGAAGAGAGAATGTGAGAGGTTGCAAAAGAGCAGTTGAGTCTACTGTTCATCTCAACGGCTATATTCAACCCAAAACTCCTATAAAAATACAAAGAAAGAGAAAGGGGAAGGAGGTGTCTGCTTGCCTGAAAATCACCTTGCCTCACTGGTAGCCGTTTAGCCTCACTGGTATATATTGTCTCTTTACCTCGTTACTATCTCCTTGCCTCACTGGTATTACTTTAATATTGGGTGATTTGGTTTAGGGTTTAGGAGAAGGGGAAGGGGAAGGGGAAAGGGGAAAGGGGTAGGGATTGAATCACAGAGAACAGACTGAAATGGAAGGGGAAGGGGAATGAAGGGTCTGTCTGAGAAAGGAATCGTGCCTACTATTTATTTGAAGGAAAATGACACATTCTATCCCAAAATTATTTTGTATTGTCATATTACACTATTAATTATTTTGTATTGTCAATTACACCATTAATTTTTTTTGAATTGTAATATTATACCATTTAATTATTTTGCATTGTCATATTACACCATTTAATTATTTGAAATTTTTACTATAAAAATATATCCGTTAAATTGCGATAGTTATGAAAATTATACCCGTTAAAATATAACTGTTAAATTTAACTATATTTTTTAATAAAAAATATTAAAATGACACTTCATTTTAACACTTATCATTGGAGCAAAAATACTATTCAAAAATGTCAAAACACCGTTCAAGATTATAAAATAATATTTGACACCCTATTTTTGACAACTTCCCTCGTAGTTGCTCTTAGAATTTTTTGGGATGTTAATATAATTTGTCCTTATGGCACACACGTCCATGCAACTCTATGCAATCCAATCAGGACACAATCAAAATAGGGCCCCATCTATCAATCCAAAGGCCATACGTAACCAGAGCTCAGGCATCTTAGAATGTGCTCACATCCACCAAATAACAGCCCACCAACTTGTGGGCTGGGTGTATTACGACCATTCACGCGCCCTAGTCTCCGCAACCAACCAACACGCGACAACCGAAACTGACACTCTCCGTTAGCCAGATCTACTCTCTCTCTCTCTCTCTCCCCAAAGCTCCACCATTAACAAACAATGGCGATCCCATAGAAAAACACCAATTAGCCTTCTAAAATGGAGTCCGAACTCAAAGACCTAGCCCCCAAATCCACCGCACCATCCCAGCCGGAACCCCTCGACGATGGTTCAACCAAAGATGACCGTCCTCTTCTCAAACCCGACTCCGCCACCACCGATTCAAACACAATCTCTAAACCAAATCTTGAAGAACTCGAGAAAAAATATGCGGCTTACGTCCGAAACGACGCGTACGGTGTGATGGGCCGCGGTGAGCTGCCATGGACCGAGAAGGTATTGCTTGGTATTGCGTTTGTGACGCTCTTGCCTGTCCGTGTGGTGGCGGCGATGACTATATTGGTGGTGTATTACTTGATTTGTAGAGTGTGCACTTTGTTTTTAGCCCCGAATCGAGAGGATGAGCAAGAAGATTATGCGCATATGGGCGGGTGGAGAAGGGCGGTGATCGTTCAGAGTGGGAGGTTTCTTTCTAGGGCCTTGCTTTTCGTTATAGGGTTTTATTGGATTGATGAGACTTATCGGAATCCATTCGTAGACGAAAAATCGGATGCGGAGGTACTTCCCTGCCACCACTTGTGAGTTTTCTAGAGGTTCTGTTCAACTGCCACCAGTGATACGATGATTCGTATCAAACATGATTTGAGCTATGTGCGTTTTTGCCGTGGATTTTTGTTTTTATTTTGTGTCATTAAATATGGCGGAGAAATCGAAGATAATGTGACCATTGAATCAATGTTGGTAGGTTTACGGGAAGAAAACCTTCAACATAGTATGTAATAAAACAATATTAATAAAATTCAAAGATAGGTTTTATCAAACAATTATAAGGACATAAATATTATATGAAACGGAATGTTGAGCAACTAAAATGAGGATAGCAGAAATGAGAATATTAATGTAGATATATTAAAAAATTAGAAAAGATAGAATATAAAATAATTATATTAGAGAAATGATAGGACTAATTTCAATTGAGGATAAATTGAGAAAGAATAGATTAAAATAGTTTGATCATGTTTAACGGAAGCCAATAGAGAGATCGATTAGACCTAAATCAACATATATAAAATAATAAAAAATATTTAACTTATATGAACGTATATTGCATAACCAAAATTTGAAATAAATGACGAAAACTGATTCATATAACTGACCTTAAATAATTAGGATATAAGCTTTGTTTTTATTGGTGAATGTTGGACTTTTGGTTGCAAATACTGATCTTGCTTCTTTTTAATTGATCAGACTGTGTGCAAAGATCAATTTGAAGAAGGTGAAAGACCTGGAGCAATCGTATCAAATCATGTATCTTATTTGGATATATTGTACCACACGTCTTCCTCTTTTCCAAGTTTTGTGGCCAAGGTCGGTTAATTTGTTTGCCACAGTGCAGTCATAATTTCTGGCGATTTGAATTACATGTTTCTGTTCTAACTTTGTCGATTATGTTCCTGGATTGCGTTGCTGAAGAGATCAGTGGCCAAACTTCCTCTGGTTGGTCTCATCAGGTTGGTTCACATCACATGATATCATATTTATTTGCATGTAGAACAAAAGAAATTTATATTGTTCTGCTTCTACTATTTTTGCTGATTAAGTTTGTTAACAGACGTGTTAAATGACACAATTAGTGATGAGTGAGTGAGTGAGCTAGGCATTTCTTGGCATGGTTACTTGCGTGGATAACCCTTTAGCATCGCAAATGAGGATTGTTGAGGTGTTTGCCTCATTTTTGGACCAATTACAAATTTTTAGATCCCATTTTTCCGATGGTCGCATTTGCTTGCTTTTTGAAGTGCTTTTTCTGGCATATGTTGCTTCATGCCTGGTATATTTACAACAAACGTCGATGATTGGCTCAATGGGTTTTTAACTTTAGTTATTTGTCTTTTACAGCAAGTGCCTTGGTTGTGTTTATGTCCAGCGGGAGTCAAAATCATCTGACTTCAAGGGTGTTTCAGGTACATAATTTAAATGCCTCCTCTGACATCTTCTAACCCTTGCTTCTTAGGGATATGCGCCCCTTCAGGCATGGTTCAAAGCCTGAACTTTTTTTTATTTTAAGGTTTATACGTTATAATTGTCACCTGATTAGTACCGTGAATTAAAATTTTAAATTTAAAAATCGTAAATTCATAAATTTGACATAAAATTTTTTTGTAAAAAAAAATAGTACTAAATATTTATAATAAATAAAATATTAAATATTGAACATTATTGAATTCTAAAAATAATTAATTGATATAATTACGTTGTATAAATGAAAAGACGTTAACCTTTTGTTTCATTTTCATCTTTTGTTTAATTATTTTCAAATTCAACAACTTAAAAAAAAAATTCATAAAGAACCATGACTGTTTAAAAACCAAAATAGTGACACCCAATATAAATTAAGTTACAAACATAAATGAAAAAATAAATAAATAAAAAAATTGATTAAGAGAAAATATACAGGCCAATATTTAAAAAAAAAAATTATAACCTGACAAACTACCCATGAAAGAATTGAGAGCAAAATCAATCGATGATGCGGAGAGCGTTAGCCGTGACCTTTAACTTTAAACAACGCAATAAAGATGTTAAATTTTTATTAGGATGTGAATTCCTCTGTAAATAAACCGATATTGTTTTATTGTTTAGAGGATAAAACGACGTCGTTTTGTCAAAAATTTGGGTTTAAAAAAAATGATTGAATCGTGCGATTCGTGAAATACAATTCAAATTGTACAACTTAGGTGCGATTCAATACTAAAACGATTCTTATATAAGATGATGATGCACAAATTGATTTTATACACTATATGTCGTGTAAGTAATGATTAATGCAATAATTTAGTAGAGAGAGAATAACATAATTAAGACAAAAATGTAGAGTGGTTCAATCGACGTGACCTATTCCACTATAACGAGTCAAGCGCTCGGTCATTAAGGGTACGGCCTCGAGGGGTGTAAGACTCCACCCTTGGAACAACGCTCTCAAAATACTAACACGAGCCAAGCACTTGGTCGTTAGGGGTACGGCCTTGAAGGGTGTAAAACTCCACCCTTGGAGCAACGTTTTCAAAATACTAACAAGCCAAGCGCTCGGTCGTTAGGGGTACTACCTCAAGGGGTGTAAGACTCCACCCTTGGAGCAACGCTCTCAAAATACTAACACGAGTCAAGCGCTCGGTTGTTAGGAGTACGACTCCGAGGGGTGTAAGACTGCACCCTTGGAGCAACGCTCTCAAAATACAAACACGAGCCAAGCGCTCGGTCGTTAGGGGTACGACCTCGAGGGATGTAAGACTCCACCCTTGGAGCAACGCTCTCAAAATACAAACGAGCCAAGCACTCGGTCGATAGGGGTACGACCCCGAGGGGGGTAAGACTCAATACAATTGACACAGGAAAGCAGACACTTGTAGAAAACTAAAGTTCATTATAGAAAAGGGGCTTTGCGTCCCCAGGCATACAAACAGTAGCAAAATTTAATACAGAGCTACAGGGAACTGCAAAAATATGGGACATAGAAGTGAGGTCACCAGCTGCTAAGGCCCTCGGCTCATTCTTCCCCGGCTCTTTCCCCGCCGAGGCCTCCACGCTGCCTTTGTAGCTCATCTCTAGCCTTCAATATCTCATCTAGCTCGGTATCATGCATTCCAATAATGATGGGGGGCAGAGAGGACAGATCGTCTGTTGGTTAGGCAGGTGGCAAAGACGGAAGGGCAGGAGAAGGCTGGTCAGATCCGTCGCTGAGTGTGATAGGTTCGCTTCCACCTTCGGCCCCGATTGGCCCTTCTGCCTCTGCATGATCGCCGAGGCCGGATCGGACCTGTTCATCCAAGGCTTCATCTGCCTCACCTCGGAGGCTGTGCATGGCGAACAAGTCTGAGCCTACCTCGACGTGGCAGGCGTGAAGGGCGGCGTCCCAACCTTCTTTGAAAGCCTTCTTCATAGCCTCCTCGAAAGCGGGGACCATTTGGTCTTGAGTGGCCGCCCACACCTTCTGACACTCCAATTGCAGCCTTTCCTGCTCCCCCGCTTTTTTTGCTGTCAAGGAGTCCATTTTGGCAGTGAGAGCGCTGATTACAGACTCGGACTCTTGCAACTTGGCTTCGGAGGAGGACATTCGCAGCTCATACTCCTCAGCCTTCTTTATTGTTGCAGCTTCACCCGCCTTGGCCTTTTCCAGCTCGGCATGAATGGCATCTCGTTGGCGGATGAGCTCGGCGATGTGCTTGGTTTGGTCGTCGAGGGTCCTCTCGACCTTCAGGATGTGGTCGTCCTTTGCAGCTGTGGCCCGCTCGGCGGTTTTCGCCTCCTGCTTATATCCCCAAAAACGTTCAATGATGGCTCCCACCTTCTGGCTGGCCTGAAGAAGGAGGGATATTAGGGAATGACCAAAAAGGGGCAAGGGCTATTCGGGAAAGTGTAGACTTACCACCAGGTTGTTTTGGATAGTGTTCATCAGGAGCCGATTGTCTGAGTAACCTTTGTACACGGCCATATCGGTGTCAAATTGAAGCGTCCCCGCGACGGCAAAGGCCACTTTAGGGGATTGAAGGATGGAGTTGGTTTCCAGAACAAGCTGGCCGTTCCTGGTCTCGGCCTGAGCAACCCACTCGCCTGAGACAGACGGGCCCGAGGCCGAGGCATCATGCCGCTGCTTTACACGGTGCTCCTTTGATTGTTCGACATCCCGGGCACACCTGTCCCTCAGCCGATCTCCCGGAGCGGGGACTTGTTGAGATTGGGGCCTTTGCTTGGTCAGCACGGTCGAATCCTTGGGTTTCATGCGCGGCCGCGGCAGCTACCTCCGAGGAAAACTAGGCTGGGGGATGATGGGAGCAGTATTGGAAAGCCCAACCTGCCCGGCAAGCCTAGCTCTCCTTGCCGAGGCGGCGGCCTCCATTGTAGTTGCTGTGATAGGTGGCGGATTAAATATTTCGGGTGCGAGTGGCTCGGGAGCGTGATGCTGAGTCTTTTCTTCGGAACCTCCCTTGGATTCTTCTTGTTCTGACGAGTAGTGATCTTCCCAAACGGAAGGGTTGAAAGAAGGTGGGATCTAGGAGAATCGACTGTAAGTCGGCGTGTAGCCGAGAAGGGTATGCGCCGCTCGTTCAGCTGGATCCGAGGACCAGACCCTTAGAAGATCAGCAAATCGGACTTGGGACCTCAGTGGTTGAGCAGCGTCCCGGTGATATCCTTCTGCAAAAGTAAAGTAAAAATCAGTACGTCCCTCGGACCCAAGAATAGATAAATCAAGAAGTCAAAAACAAAACACACCTTCATCCCTCGACACTTTGGGGCAGTACAATCCGTCATACTCGGGCCCGGTCCCTTTCTCCCAACTGTCGCCGAGCATGATCAGATCGTCCACATACCCCTTGTCCGAGTTAGGCATGTGGGTTACCAAGTACATTGAGGAATCTCGAGCCTGGAGGTAATATCGCCCCCCGGCGACGAGCATTAGGTCGTAGCAGAATGAAATTTCATCTACCCCTAAGTTAGTCTCCAGCCGAGTGTTTATAGCGACTACGCCCATCACAATCCTAAAGAAGTTAACCCCACATTAGAGGGAAAAGAACTTCAGTTGCATCAAGACTCCCAGCAACAGAGGATGGAGGGGGAAGGTCAACCCTCCTTCCATGATGGCCTTCGTCCAGAAAGGCATCATGTCCACAGTTCCCATATCCCTCCTATGGTGAGTGGGGTTGAAGGGGAAAGCGAAGACAGGTTCACAGATGCGGTACCTAACCCTAAAGACTTGGATATTCTCATATGTTACTTGGGTTCTCCTCATCTTGTGGGTAGTACTAGCCCTAACCGACGTTTCCCCCCTGGTTCTACTAGTTCTAGCCATTGGTGAGCACTAAGAGGACGAAATACAGAGGAAATGAAGAGAGAAAAAGCTCGAGTGGAAGTACTTACAGAAGGGTGGTCTTCAAAGAGGGCTCGGAGGACGAAGGAAACTCGGAGGACAGAAGAACACTCGAGGTCTGACTGTTGAGGAGAGATTAAGGATGCAAAAGTTCTGAAAGGGTAGGAAAACCTCTTATTTATACTGCCTCGCAGGGAGTGGGAATCGAAAAGTTGTCTCATCATTAGGGTATTTGAAAAGGGCGACACCAAACGTGCAAGTAACCGTCGTCATTAATAAGGCGTGATGATGGAGCCCCAGTCTCTTTACGCCACTTGTCTTGCGCTGCGAAAAGGATGGCGGCTGGGGGGCAGTTGGCGGGACTCCAGTGCGGCTTTTCAGCCTCTGAGTTGACAATTGGAACAATGAAGCCGTTGGGATGACCAAGGGATGCCAAGGTATGGTGACACAGAGCGGCCGAGTACGACAGTTGACATCGTATTTAATGCGATGTGACCTCACATTTATGGCGGAATGAGTGATAAATGCGCGCCTGCAAGCAACTGTCCTCTGGGAGTCTAAGTCTACTGTCATGATGGCTAAGCATTAATGGTTGATGCGCCGAGACGACGCATCAGATCTCCCGAGGAACTGTTCCGCCGAGTATTCAATGCTTGGTTGGTGTCAGATGCCGACCTGATGGATTTAGTCATTCGGGGAGTGGCATAATTGCTCGACGGATGACCGAGCTTTTAGTCCATTTTCCTAGCATTTAATAGGAGGAGACGTGAATAGGAAGCACTCACTGCACGAGGGATAGTGTGTCAAATATGAAGATGTCCAGATGTGACTGAAGATCTTTAGCAATCATTACCAATTCAGGTATAAATATTCCTCAGAAAAATGGACAAGGGTACGCAAACTCAAACCAGAAAAAGTCCATCAAGCAAAACTCTTCGATCTTTAACTAACTTAAGCTTCGGAGGGGATTAGCCGGGCAAACGCCTGGCCCCCCTTTTTTCTGACCCCGTTGTTCCAGGTTCGCCAGTTTGGAGATCGCCGCCTCACACGATTGCAGGAATCATCCCGTGCACATACCTAAAAATTTACTCTTCGGCTCCCTTCAAGAAGTTGATGGATTATGTTTTTTTCCCTTCAATATCTTTGATTTCTCCATAGTGTTTGTTTGAGTAAGACTGGATGATCTCTGTTTAGCTTTGTTGCATGGGTACAATTAGGTCATGGGTCACAAGTTCTGGTATGATAAAGCGCTCTTCTTCTGGCATAAATCGTGGGATCGGCTAGGGTTATTCCGCAATCTGCAAGATTGTGTTTCTATACTGAGGAAAGTTTTTATGGTTCTGGGAAAACCGAAAGGGTTCAACACTGTGGGAATTTGCTATTAGGGCAATATTTGGGTGGTATGGATGGAAAAAAATTGAGGATCATTTTGGAAGTTAGAGGACTTGGAGTTGTTATGGGATAGTGTAAAGTTCTTGACATCTCTCTGGGCAGCCATTGTTGATAGAACAAATTTCAAATCAGTTTGTGATTGAGGATTTCCATTGTTTTTTTCTTTCGTATTTGGGTTAGATTTCTTGTCCACCATTTTGTACTTTTTCAACTTTCTATAAATGAAAGTTGTTTCTTATATAGAACAGAAATACATTTCCAAAATTGACACATTTAAGACATGTTGGTCGGCATATGTACTTTTACATCAGAACATCATGAATTTCAATTTACTTAAATTAATCTACTATTATTAATTCTGATGTTTAAGTTCATCATTGCCCTTGCTATGCAAGTTAACTGGGAAAAAGATGCTTTCCCTCCATTAATCTTCATGTTTGGGGTGCTGGTCGTTAAACAATTTGTCTTTTCTTAAACTTTTCATCTTGCAAGGAACAATTACACAAACTTTTTTCGTAGTTCTACTCAAGGATGATTCCTTTCAAGTGTACAGCCTTTGTCTTTTGTTGTTCTGTATTGACGCTAAAGCTCCAGAAGCATAGGTTATCTTATATTTCATTAGTGATGATTAACCCTCCTGTTGTTTGCAGGTGTCGTGAATGAAAGAGTTCGGGAAGCTCATCAGAATAAGTTTGCACCAATGATGATGCTTTTTCCAGGTTATTACTGGAGCATTGTGGTCCACTATGGTTTTGTGACTTAATCATCTGATCTGTTCCCTAACCTTAAAACTGCTCTGATTATTCCCACCTATAGATTAAATATGACATAAGACTATACCAAATACTACTATGGCATAATCTATAGAAACACACTTATGGGCTTGTATGTTGTACCAATTTTTCAGGATTTTCAGCAGTTGCATTTTCCTAGGCCGTGTCATATATCTTAATAACTTGGTTGAGATTCTCGTGGATGTTGGATCTTGTGAAACAGCTCTTACCTATGTTTCATCAGTTTATTCCACAAAAATTGGTCTTGTAAATCAGTTAAGACACGAAGTGTAGTGACCGAACTTATTTTAATTTAGTTCCGCGGCATCTTTGCTCCTCTTTTTTTGTTTAGAAGAAAGCCTTTGAAAGAAAGTAATCTGGTTTCTTGCCTTCATACTAGGATATAGTTCCACCTTAGAAAGAGGGTATTGGTCCATGTTTAAAAGCACTGTAAATTCTGTTTGAAGGTATATACGCGAATAATGTTTAGAGCGTACAACTTGTCTGTATAAGTGAAATTGTCCTTTCGGTGTTTCTCACACAAGGAGCATTCCATGGAGTTGACACAAGGAGTTGCACCTTCTGTGGAATCCCTGTAATCTTGGATCCAATGATTGAGAACAAAGCATATATTTAGCTGCCCTTAAATGGGTTTGCTTTATTTTGTATCTTGGCTCTGACTTCTCAAGTTCTGATGTAAATTACTAGAATTTATGCAAATGGTCAACAGTATGGAAATAATGTTATTGCTCTCCTTCTCTACGGCTTTTATGATCGAATTGTTGTTGTCCATGGATATAAAAGTAGCTCAACCTTGCCTTTTTCCCATTCTTCTGGAATCCACATGTTTGCAGCTTGATTATTGGCTAATTGTCTTCCATGTCAGTATTCACATGCAAATTATGGCTATCTAACTGTTTTTTTCTTTTACTACAGAGGGGACAACTACAAACGGAGACTTCCTCCTTCCATTTAAGACTGGTGCATTTTTGTCAAAAGCTCCTGTGCTTCCTGTGATTTTAAGATATCCATACCAGAGATTTAGTCCGGCCTGGGATTCCATATCTGGGGTTAGTTTCTATTTTACAACACAACTTTTTTAGTCTTGATCGGCCTGGGTATTGGTGGTATGACTCACCTTAGTCAAAGTAATTTAGGCTATTGCATATAACTTCATGGTTGCATGACTTTGCACTAATTATTTGTGAAATCAAGATTGGATATTTTTGTTTACTGGATGATATCTGGAACCTATTTGGACTGGGGCTTATCAAGGATTCATTGGCTATTAATATAAGTCATGGTTATTATAATCTGTGGTGCATTTTTATTTTTCTACATTGAGTTTCAGTATGTCTCTTAATTTTCAGGTGCGCCATGTGATTTTTCTTTTTTGTCAATGTGTAAATCACATCGAGGTGACACGGTTGCCTGTTTACTACCCCTCACAGCAAGAAAAGGATGATCCAAAGATTTATGCTGATAACGTCCGAAGGTTGATGGCTTGTGAGGTATAGATTGATTTTTTTCCTTGAATGATTCTGTTTGGCTGTCTTATACCTTTGAAAGCAATGATAGCCACACACTCTTATCATATGCCAAAAGCACTCTTATTATATGCCAAAAGCATGTGGTTTGATTTGTAGTTTCTGTTGTGCGCATGCAGGGTAATTTGATACTGTCAGATATTGGTTTGGCAGAGAAACGAGTATATCACACTGCTCTCAATGGTAATAATAGCCTGCCTACTGTTTTGCATCAGAAAGACGATTGATATTTGGGCTCTCAAAAGATATCTAGTTCCAACTTGGGATTTTTAGTTCACGTAGTGTTTACTTTCAACATACTGGAACTGAGGGGTGGTCATTTCCACCCTCTAAACGAGAAAATAATGCTGTGTTATCATACCCATGATATTCTCTCATTTCCGGAACAATGGCTAGTGAGCAGACTTTGTTGATGTTCCTGTGGAAATATAAAAGCATCCAGTTTAAGAGCTTCTTGGGATTAAAGTGGTGTTCGTTTCGAGTATTTGATTATTTACTGCCTTAGAAGTGTCTTTCGGGAGAAGAAAAATATGCATCTGTTAATCTGAAGCATCTCTTTTTTTGTTCCTGCAGGTTTGTTTTGTCAACAGTAATTCGGACCCGCCATCTGTATATAATCTTGAATGGTTTTTGTAGTTACAAAAAAAAAAAAAGGAAGTAAAAATTGCATATAGAAAATTATGACCTGACATCTTATTTTCACATTACATTTTGAAATGTATCTCCGGGCTTCCTATTGCTGCAGCTCTTTGGTGGCATTTTGAAAGCTCCATTTGAAATTGGTTCACTTGGCATTTGGCTACTCCAGGACCGGAAAGTTTGATTCCAGCAGCTACTTCTGTTTATTTCAATGTGTACCATGAATATACGTACACTTCCTCAAGTAGCTGAATTTTTGGGTGGCAAATGGTATTGAGATGTGTTCCTTATATCTGGAGTTATTTATTTGTGATAGGGCTGTCTTGGGTATCATATTTTGAGTTTCAATTACTTCAATCTAGTTGGAGTTGGGTGGACTCGACATGCAATCAAGATAGATTTGGTTTGAGTTTAGTTTTAGCAAGTTCAAAATCAATATACCAACATGAATATGGAGTTTCTCGTTAAACATAATTTATGCACATAGCGAAATTGATTATATACCATTATAAAATGTGTTAAAGTCGAGCAAATTTTAATACGACACCTTAAACCTAACACAACCTGAGTCAATCCATTGTGTGCTTTAGGTGAAATCAATCATCTGCTCTCTCTCTCTCTCTCTCACACACACACACACATACACACAAACACACATTAACACACACAAGCAATGGAGAAAGCTGGAAATATCAGAGTCTCTGTGGCGGTGTACAATGTAATCGTGCAGCTAGGGGTGAAGCATTCCATATTTACGGGTAAATCTCAAAATTTGGAATTAACTTGGTCAAAATTAATAATTTTTGGTATACTTCTAAGAAACCACATGTATACCAAAAATTATACCCCAAATTTTAATAGGGTCGAGGACCCCTTTTGGCTAGTGGCTGTGAAGGAATACTAGATCAGACACACACAAGCTTTAAACTGAATGCTCCATATGCAGAAGTTAAGAGGCCTAAAAAAACCGCCTACAACTGCTTGGCGGATAGATTTTTGACATCCTCACAAAGAATCACTGAGAAAGAGAGAGAGAGAGAGAAACCTATTGGAACAACATCATTTTACAAACATTCCCCTTCCTAAAGCTTATGTGGCTTGCTCACCTAACCCATTAAAAAACTTCCCAACAGTCCTTGCCAGGAAGATTTCAAGGAAACATGATATGTGAAGTCCCTCTTCAATCTTACCTTTCCTTCAACGACCCATTGTTTGAGCGTCTCAATTCCCATGGTGGAAAGCAGCCTTTTAAGGGTGACTGTAGAAACATAGAAGATGTTGACAACTGCCTCTGCCTTGTTGAGATCGAAGACAAGCAACTGAAGGCACTTCGCAGCCTTCTTCTTTCACTATTGTACGCTTGATCATTAAGGTCATGTTGCACAGCAGAAATTTTGAGCGCTTCTGGCAGTAGACAGTTGAAGATTGAACCTGAGATGACAGCAAGCAGAACAAGGAAGATTACCCTATTGTATCACTTCCTTAAAGGATGATATTATGCAGAAGAATGATAACAATCCTTTTGATGAGACCACCTCTCAACAAGGAGATGAACTCTGATCCCAAATGTTCACAAAATTGAAACACTGCAGTGGAAATCAGAGGTAAAATTGACATTTCTGTTGACAAAAAAGGAATCAATCTTAAACTTCCATTCCCTACACACACCCTATTGATTTCTAGCAACACATGCCACAAGCATACATGACATACAACCCTGATTGGGAGTGGGGGTGGGGGGTTGTTGGAATGACACAAACGAAAGCACCACAGGAAGTGTTGTCTGGGCAGGTGGCTCTTATTCCACAACACCCCCCCCCCCTCCACCCCAAAAGAAAAAGAATATCAGAACCACTGCAATATAGAAAGAGTAACTTATTGCTGTTGAATTCAGCTCACTTGTTTGCCAGAGAGATATGTAACAGATTAGTTAAAAACAAAAAACTGAAAAAGATGAATATCCTGGTCAGTTTTGCAGGGCCAACAACCGGTTCTCATTCAGCAGGAGAAGGGAAAAAAAAAACTTTTTCTAAAAAAAATGAACCAAGCTGCAAATATGGAAAGCTAATTTCATTTTTGAAACTTTAAAAGGTAACAAGAAAATTAAAAATGAAATAGATTTAAGGACCGGGGCAGGTTTCTTCTCTCATTATAACAGTTCACAACAAAACAAAGCAAGTGTAGCAAAACGTTGGAAGCAAGACATGAAAAGGTACGAAGGGTTATAAATATAAGTATATGTTTTCTTGTTCTAGAAAAGGCCCTGTTCTATGATGAAGGCGAGCAGGTAGGTGGTAGGAGCTAAGGGAATAAGAAAGCCTTCTACACAATTCAGAAGGCTATTTAATTCATACAATAATGGATCAATTACATTCAACAAGTCGAGTATGGTTACTGCAGAAAAAGTACCTAATTTTGCCAGTCGATTTACCCATTTTGGGATCGGCTTTCCTGTCAGTTTGTAGCAAATATCCTTGCAGAAATGGTTGCAATTCTTGATAATTAAGTGATATGTATCACCGTTGTAGCTTGCAGCTTGACATTCCATGAATTCCCTTACCTGGACAGGGTCCAAACATGTAGTCCCAATAAATATCGACTTCCTAAACTTGAAACCAGGGCATTGCCGTGGTTCAACCTCAAAGACGCCACTAGAAGGATAGTCATGAGCTCCAAATGCATACTCTACACCATGAACTGTCAAGTGCACATAGGTTAAAGGAAACAAATAAACCCCAAGATGCAAAGCATCACTATGTCCCAAGTCCTGGACACGTAAAAGAAAAGTTCAAAAGGCTAGAGACACCTAACTTAGGTGCATTGTTGGAGATATAAAAACAAAATACCAAGATAACAAAGCAAACAAAGCAAACAAAAAGAACCAAATAAAGTGGGCAAGCTTACCTTCCACACCAGAATGAAAGATACCGAGGCCAGCCCAATAGACATAGCCATTCGTGGGTGTCAAGTCATACACGTTAAGATAAACTGGTGTATTGCCTGGAGCTTGACCAGCTGATTTTGTTTTCGGAAATAAACAAAAACGGGGTGTTGATTTGCTTCTCAAGCGGAAAGGCATCACCGACTTCCATCCTTTCCTTGATCCGAATTTCATGGTGCTTCAAATAGTGAAACTGAAGTCAGTCAAGGCCCAGCGGCATCCTGTATGTATGGACAAATATAAAAGCATAACCCTCAATTCAACAGGAAAACGACATCATACTGAACGCTTCATTTCCAGTTAGCTCATGCTTTATATTCTTTCCAAGTACAAATACCTGATACCCATACTTCAGAGAAGACAAAAGGAAACAGTTTTCCTCTCTTGTATTCTTTTTGAAAAGTTTTCTTTGATTACATTCACTAAGTTATTTTTCATGCTCGACTATTTCTTTGAACAACGGGAAATAATAAATCATCCTCTCACTTTTGCTTCCTAGATTCTGAGCTTTGCCAGATAAGTTGAAAATGTGAAGACTACGGATAAAGCAAGCCTAGCCAGACAATTCAATTATTTTGCCCCATCCCCAACTACTCTTTTGGCACCTCCAATCATTGGGGTATTATAATTGGCAGTCAACTAAAGTAAGTTGACCTTGATAAATTTTTGGTATAATACATAAAACTTTGGGAATTTTCTCTAGAAAGAAAGTCAGCACAGAGACATTGCAAGAAAAAAAAATACTGGGATCACACCAAATTTTAAGAAAAGTCAATAATGAAAAGAGTGGGAGGCCACTAATGTTGTCAATCATCTGATGACTGATATTTATAACCAGCATTTTATATATTGGTTCTTTATCAGTCACCATCCTGACCAAAATAGAGAGAGAATGTCAAATTCCAACACTTGATCAGTAACTAAAACTTGTACATGAAATACCTAATTCATTAAATCTTAAAGTTAAGGAGTGAACACAATAAAAATCTCCATTAGTTTGCAATATTTCAAGAGAAATAAGTATAGCTACCAACATATTAAATAAGAATTCTTAACAAGAGCTTTCCTTCCTTCATGGAATCATGGCAGTTGACCAATGCATTGGAGTGCCAACTACATATGGGGCTTACGTGTGAGGCAAAATAATTACAAAATCATAGTTCACCTTTAGTTCATGACTATGAAACCTAGAACTAGTGGGTTGCAGCAGATAACCAGTAAATAAAGATGAAAATCGGTTGAAAACTACACTAATTATCCCCAACTATGTTAACTCAACAAATACTACTAAAGGACCTAATCTGAAGAGCTGCATTTCCAAAACAAGACAATTATAAAATCAGCCATTTCACCTTTAGATAACCCAGGAATTGCACCATTATCTCATTACCTCGAGAGGACAACAATAACAAGTGATCAAGAAAAGATTTTAGCATCAGATTTTAGAATCTAAGCAGAATTGTGTTAGATCTTGTTCATACCATTTGCAATTTCAAGAAGAAAGATAAAAAAGAAAAAAAGAAAAATCAAGCAATTCCCAGACTAGTAGATCAGGTAAATAAGTAAGACCACAATTGACCAAAGATAAAGCGAATCCTACATTAAACTTACCTTAAAAACAAGAACTACGAACATGGAATCAAAGAGTAAGTACGATCTTGCAGACATTTTTTTGAGAGAAACCCAGAACATAAATACTCAGAGAGGACGAAGTAAGTCAGGTAAGAGAAGCTCACAGATTACGACAATTAGATTGAAAGCCCAGAAAACCCAGCTTCAGAATAGTATGTGTACACCATTGTGTCCTGATCCTGAAGTGCAAAGGAAAACCACCATGGAAAAGGACTACCAGCTGTGTCCGTGAATTGCTAAACACACGCTCATTTCTGACAAAGCCCTTTAACACACTGCAAATCCTGAAATCACAGGTAAAGCTTTGAGCTCACACAAAATAATGGTAAAGAAGAGAAAGGGTAAGAAGACACCCCAAAGATTTGCAAGTTAAGGCAAACTGGCACAAGTATGAAGACTCTCTCTCTCTCTAACCTTAACTCGCTCTGAAAGTAACAGTTAAGCTCTGAATAAAATAGAGTACTAAGTATTATTAGTGAGTAAACGACCAGGAAGATACAAAGCAAATGAATAGAAATACCAACCGGCTCGTCTTTAGGTCTCTCGTTGGGTCTCAATCGAACATCCTTAGTCTTTAACGGCAGAAGTGGGGCCCCAATTCCGCTGGGTTTATTTTGATTTAAGAATCAGATGCTCTAAGCTCTATCCATTGCTGTAGTTTTTATACCTATATTTCAGGAGTTTTATATTTCAAATTTCAATTTTTATAAAAAAAAATGATTTAGTTTATGTGATTTATACATGATTACGTGTATTTAAAATTCACGATATAACGTTACAAGTCATAAACACGCTAAGATTTTATTATCTTTTCTTAATAAAAAATTTTTTCGCATCTTATATTTGTTATAATTAATACTCTATCAATCACCCGTAATCATAAAATAGATGTACTACAATTTAAGTAAATAGATCAAAATCTCTTTTAGAATTGATTCTTGTCGGTGCTAGATCATTCATTGTATGTTACTTTGTTTGTCATGGCCCAATTAAATCCATATTATTTACTTGGCATCAAACAAATTTTTTTTTTTTAAAAGAGCAATGCAAAGTTTTTCATTACGTGATCCAAATTTTTCAATCAATTTGGATCTATAGCGTAGGTTGGTTCGAGACGAGAAGTACACGGGTGTGTTCTAAGTTTTAAGTTTTTTTAACCGTTTTTTTATGTGCATAATTTATAGGTGATTGTGTGAATTCAAACTTTATATTATGACGATAAATTAAAAAGACGTCAATATTAAACCGCCTGCATAAAACAATAATGTAGCATATGAATTGAATGATAATGGAAGCTGGCATTTATGGTTGGAAAGCATGTACATTTAACAACTTAGTCCTATTATTAATATCCGATGGCTTGTAATAAAAAAAATATGAGTTAGTTTATTGTTGCATTACAATAATTAATACAAATAGTCCAATACAGAGAGGTTTCACCAATTGCCAGCTCTGTTGTGAAGAAGCACCACAGCCGCTTGTGCCTGCCTGCTGCATTTTTTTTTTTTTTTTGTCAACGATCAGGGTGTCTGAGTCAACTTACGCACACCACCTATTGCCTTTAAACCCTCCAAAAAAATTGTGTCAAAGAGAACAAAAGAAGAAACAAAGAACTATCTCTCACACGATCGATAAGTTACAACTGTAATATAACCAAATTAAGGGTGCAATTCGGGCGAGTTGGAGGGATTGGATGGGTTGAGAGGTCCATGCTTCAATTTTTGAGTGAACTCTCCGTACACAATTATGCTTGATTTGTATTTGATTCTCATGTTATACAATTAAGGGTGAAATTCGAGTTTCATTTGTAAATGTTCACTCAGTCTATATTCAATTACTTTGTATAAAATTACAACAACGATAATGTTATCGTATGTGGTACCACATTGAAAGATAAGACTCAAAAGAGTTGGTGTTACAATACATCACAAATAATGAAGTTGCCAAATCTTTAATCAGCCATGGTTACCCTATTCATTTTATCGAATCCAGGTATACTCTGTTTCACTTTTCCTTCAATTTTTTCAATATTTGATTACGATCATGAATCCATGTGAAATCCATCATATTCAACCGTTAATACATGGTGCATCATTTAACATTGAAGATAGTTGAAAGGAAAAGGAATTGGAGGTGTCCAAATCAGTTTTCATGGGGCATATGTTGCAAGACAGTATTATTTCACTAGAACATGTCTTCACATTCCATAGTTTTTGAGTACAAAAAACTTTTGATTGGCTGCAAATACCACAGGGCCATTTCCTTTGTACACAAACACAGAAAAAAATAGAAAACAATCTCTTACAGGTTCTGTTCTATTCACATATCAACTTCAGTATGCAGTAAATAAAGAGTATATTAAGTAACATGATATCGACGAACGTCCAACCTGAAATCAATCATGTAATACCTATGCACAGTCAAAAAGGTATTTGCAAGTGCACTTGCAGATAATGAGCATCATTTTCCTTCAGAGGTATTGCCATTAAAGCATTGAACAATCAAAATGCACCCTGTGAATTGAAATGATCCCATGCCTCCTGTATCAAGAATAGTAACTTGTAGTCAAGCATAAGTTCTCGAGGTACACGTATAATATGCATCTACTACACATGAAAATGACTACCATATATAGTGCTTGCTTCTACACACAATTTACTGTCTAATAAACGTCTAATGATTGGCTCATCCTAGTTAGTTGGAGTTCAAACCTTGAACATGGGACCCTATGCAATTTATGTAGGTGCATGATATGACCATAATTTCGTGTAGACGAAAATGAAGATTCCCAAGGGAGTCAAGTCTCAGATGACAGAACCACAATGGATATTGGTGACTAAGTATCACGTTCATTTATCTATGAGACAGATCTTCAGACACCATTTCTGTTGAAAATAACTCTAATTAGAATCAACCATGATTGAACTTCTACCATACAACTGAACAAACGTTGGATACCTGCAAAATATCAAAAACTTTCTCTGCAATGTATATATTATGACAAGCAGCACCCTTCTGCTGTAGCTTATCTGGGTGTAGGCGGAGTAAAGCTTTTTGATATGCTCTCTTCAATGCACTTCCTTCAATTATATCAACAAGCGGAACTGGTTTCCATCCGCTCTCGGGCCAAAGAATCTGTATGCTTGGAATTATTAGTTGGAGAGACAAATAAGTTCTTAGCATGAATCTTGTAGAGGCTATCCATGAAAACAGAAAATTCTTTTTGAAAACAGCTACAAAAGGGCAAAATGAAATGAAGCATATGAAAGTGCAAAGTATCAAACCACAGGACAATAACCACAAAACAGTGAGCTAAGTATCAAGCCTAGAGTCTGTAATTGAGGGGATAAAATTCTTAATGCCTTAGTCAACAGCATTCAAGTTTAATTTTCTTACAATAAGTGACCTCTATGTGGCTCCTTGATGCAAGTGTGAGATGCTTAACAAAATTTAACATTTAAAAGTGAAGAAATGCACGAGTTTCATGAAGAAAGTTCCCAAAAATGAAAATAAGCAAGAAATTAGGTAGTATATAAGGAAGTATTTATGCAGCTTGTGTTCCAAGAGTACCATAATGAGAATGAATTGTAATTAATAAAAGTTTCAGGAAAACAAGTTCCAAACATACATATTGTAAAGTAGATAGCAACGAGCGAATATTCCCTGTTTTCCCATTTGACCATTGCTGAATTTTACCATCCGAAACCTGCAATAAAGTTATGACTTGTAAAACTACTGCATTATATACATATGACAGAAATGATGTAATGAGGAATAATTACTTGGACATCATCATAATCTTCGCCAGTTTGTAGAAGTTTATCATGATCATGTGCTAATTCTGTAATCTGTCCATGAGTCGCAAGCAAACTAGCTTATCAGCAAAACAATTGCAATGATAAAAAATTGAAGATTCGCCTGCATTAGTGACCAGCTATGCATGGTATCATCAAATGTTCAAGAATCAATAAGATTGAGAATCGCCTATGAAGACATCAAGTAGAATTTGGAACGCGGCGTCATTAACATGACAACCAATTTTGAAAGATAAAATCACATACCAGGAAATTTTCCTGAAAGAGGTCGTCTATGTTTCCAATTGTAACCTCAGAAACGTCAGGAAGTGATTCTGAAAAGTATATAAAAGTAATGAGACATAATTTATCTCCAAATAGTATTGAGTTTGGAAAACAAAAAAGTGAAATATGATTACAAATACAAAAAATTGGAAATATGTAGTTAAAGTACTCAAGGCTACTTTCAAAATTATACGCATTCCATCACCATCCAATGAAACAAAATACATACTTCATAACATAGAAGCTCATAGATATGTGAATGCATGTACTTAAATGATTTAAAGGCGTCTTTTCCTAATGTGCTACACTTCAATATAAAGGTGTATCATCAGAAAAAGCTTTATGGATCAGAAAAAGAAAAAAAAATCAGGACCAATTTTCACTAAAGAAGGATCCGTGTTAGCATCAAACATTAGTACAGTACCCAACTTCTTTACTTTCCTGATTCTGCTTTCTATTCGCTGACGATGACAGTAGACCCAATGCCAAGAACCATACAGCCTCAATATTTCTTGGTTAACAGAACATGAGGGAAAAAAGAGATTATTCTTCTCATGTAATTACACTAGTTCCGGGTTTTAACATTTACAGAAGGAAGATTTGAACCAACCCAAATATGATGAAGCATCCTTCTGACAGAAAGAATTATCACTACTGATCGTGATCTTTCTGTTAGCATGTTCTTTTTCTGACTGTTTAGGAGTTTGATCCACCTGAAAAACATTAGAAATGTAGAATTACAAAATGCAGGACAAACAAATATTTTCATCTAGGAAAATATTTAACTCCATGTACTATTGTCTGACTGAAATTTATTCATTTTCAGAAATATGAGGGGTATCAAATTGTTATAAGTTGAATACCCTGGAGGACGCATCTGGCATCTCATTCACCTTGGGGGAGTGTGATTTTTCATCCATTCCGGTTGTGCAAACATTTACTACATTATCTGCCCTGTAAATGCATGTGCCCATCCATCTACAACTCTGGGTTCGAGTGACATTGATTATGGGTTTTGCCAAAGCTTCCTGATCGAAAATCTTAACAAATTCTTTGACCTTTCCATTTACTGTGCTCCTCCCTAGATTGTCTCCTGAAGTTACGGGTAAACTTTGGCAGTTAGATTTATCCATGTCTGCACTATTTGAATTGATTATATTTCCATCATTCTCCTTTACAAGTATACTGGCATCAACATTTGGATGAGGCACTCTAGTCATTTTCTCCACTTCTTCTTTCACTTCATCCTTTTGAGTTATTTGTTCATCTCCTGCACACAAGAGAACAAGGTTAGTGTTATGTACAGCCAAAGTCTTCCTATGTGCCTAATTTGAAACATATTTACCTTGT